CAGGAGCCTCTGCAGTCACACAGGCAGGGACAGGACCCTGGGGCAGGCAGGGCCCCACGGCTGCAGACAGAGGGGGCATGGCAGAGGATTCCAGTGTGGAAGGCGAGGTGAATGCATTCACCGAGGGATGAAGGGTTATGAACAAGGCATTCCCAGCTTTGCCTGTCCTGCACCAGGATATGAACCTCGTGGTTCTCCTTGTGGAGGCTGGGAACGCTCCTTTCTTCATCCCAACCCTCCTTCACTCACCTTTTGGGCACTGAGGTGCAGTGCCAAGTGTTCAAACCACAAACAGCCAAGGCCAAGGAGAAAAGCAGTAATGTGGAGATATTTGAGAGGGATAAACTCCCAGGGATAAGGAGCAAGGTGATGGAAAAGAGAGGAGCCTGCACAGCTGAGAGCTTCATGGAAGAGTGGATGAGAGAGAGCAACGGATGAACAGGAGCATCTCCTGAGGGGTTTCTCCTGCTACGCCTGATACTCTGTGTCCTAAAGAAATGTCTGTCAGTACCTGAGCTTAGAACCTTGTGTATCTGAGACTGGGCTCAGATCATCCCAGGTCTGAGCTGTCTGGGACAGTCCAGATCTGGACGTGACCTTGGCACCTGGAAATCCAGTTTGTTTGCTGAGGAGAAGTTTGAGACAACGAGATGTCCCCATGCTGCTCTCACCACACTGAGAAAGGCATCAGAGCAGGAAAAACAGACAAACTGTGGAAAAAACTGAGCCAAAGCTGCTTCTTCCCAGCTGGAGAGGCCAGCTCCTCGCTGTGCCTCAGGACATCTCTCAGAGCTGGGGAGATCTCCCCTTCCTTCCCACCACGTTATCCCAATTCAGCATCTCCCAGAGCTGGGGAGATCTCCCTTTCCCACCACGTTATCCCAATTCAGCATCTCCCAGAGCTGGGGAGCTCTCCCATTCCTTCCCACCACGTTATCCCAGCTCAACATCTCCCAGAGCTGGGGAGCTCCCCTCTTCCTTCCCACCACGTTATCCCAACTCAGCATCTCCCAGAGCTGGGGAGCTCTCCCTTTCCCACCACGTTATCCCAATTCAGCATGTCCCAGAGCTGGGGAGCTCCCCTCTTCCTTCCCACCACGTTATCCCAGCTCAACGTTTGCCTGATGAAAGTCACATAAACTAGACATCTTGCCAGGCAGGGGCTATTTTTCAGGTGGTTTGTGTATTCTGAGCTGTGTTTAAAATTCTGCTCACAATCCAGTGTGGCTCTTATTTGCCATTTCAACGCTCAGCAGGACGGTTTGGGGTTTGAGAAAGATCAGGTCAGAAGAGATGTGACCTTTGAGACAAATAACACCACACAACCTGCAATCTTTTGTGTTACCAACAGTCAGTGTAAGCATATTCCAGACACAAAACAAAGGAAAGAAAAAAATCCATGTGCTTAAGATGACCCTTCCTTGTCTCAAAGGCTCTCAGGAATCCATTACGACACGAGTGCAGCTCCTCTGCCCTCAGAGGTTTGGATCTGCTGGGTCTTTGGGCAGTTAATTGCCCAAAGGTGCACGCAGGGTGCAGGATTTCATCTGCTCACCTCTGCCCAAGCACAGGCTGGCAGCACCACGTCTGGGCTGTGAGAGTCCCTGCTCTGCTCGGGCTATGCCTTGGAGTGGCCACCTGGAACAGAGGCTAGGCAAGGTCGAGAAAAATAAAATAAAATAGGTATGAAAGGCCTTCAACAGGTACACCTTGGGCAGTCAGAAGCCTCCCGGAGGCTACAGCCAGGATGGGTGATGGTCACGAGTTTTTCATTATAAGTTTGGCCTATTTGCATATCAGGGGTTAATCCTCCAATTACAGCTTCAGGTAATGAAGTAATTTACCCCCAGTTTGCTCCCCCCCCAATTCACTTTTATTTTTACTTTCAGGGCCTGGGGCAGAGGGTGTCCTTGAGTTTCAGAGGAATTGTTCTGTCTGACCAAAATGTGAAGACAGTTAGCTAACACTCTATGTGGAGTTTAGAGCCATGCACTAAAGCAGTACAGGATTTGAAAAACACAAAACCCAAGGCAAAACCACAAATCCTAAGGCATCAGGGCAGCCCCAGGGTGGGTGGATGCTCCACTGCTCTGCCTCCTGCTGCTGCCTCCTGCCAGAGCACAGCCACGGAGCTCACAAATCTGTGCGAGCCTTGGAGGAGAGCGGAGCTTGAAAGAGAAACAGGGAGAGGAATTGATTTCTCTGAGCCATCCCAGCAGCGCTGGACTTCAAAGGCAGGACTGACCCACCGCCCAGCCAGCCCTCCTGCTGTACCCTCTGCAGGCCCTGGCACCCAGCTCTGGCAAGCACAGCCCTGCTCAGGGCCAGGAACCACCAAAACCTGACATTATCTGCTGTCTTCAGCTCTGCTCTGGAGCAGCATCCAGCTTCCTCTGCACACTCAGATGGGAATTTTTGCACTGATGCTCCAGCCTCCCACTCCACCGGGAGCTGGAGGATGCTCCTGCAATGGCATCTGGCAGAGTCAAACACCAACAAGGAGATGCAGCCCCTGACAGCTCCTTCCACTGCGCTGGCTGTTATCGAGGCAACAGAGGATTGCCCAGAAATAACAGTAATTCTGCAGCAGACACGAACAGATGACTCCTACCCTGATCCCGCAGCCCTTGACAACACCGAGTTCCTTAAATCAGAGCCTTTCTGTGCTCGTGTAGCCTGCCTTGTTCGCAGGGGTTTCTCTGGGAGTTACCTGACTTTAAACAAACAAATCACACGTCTGAAGAGCCGGGAGCCTCTTCCTGAGCTGGGCCATAAATAATGAGTGAGGAAGGGAGCACAGAAAGGGCAGGGAGAGTGACAGGAACCCCGTGCTTGCTTTCTGCAACCTCATTCCTTTTCCCCAGGCTCTGTTTCTCTCCACAGCCAAGACTCATACCCAGACTAAATCAGCTCAGGACCATGAGACTGTTGTTCTGCCATCCTCTGCTGGCTCTCCTTCCATGCCTTCCTTCACAGAGCACTGGGCAGGAGCCCACTGGCAAATGCAAAGTGCACTTAAACCTTGGTACAGGCACAATAACAGACCCATGGGGGACCCCAACTTCCCCCACATCCAGCTCCAGAAAACAGATTTCATCTCGTCTCACAACACCAAGCAGTGACTTTAACAGAAGCAGCTGCAGACTGGCTTTGCTTTCTGCCAGGAACACGCAGACCCCAGGGCTGATGGAGCCTCTGCCGCGATCCTCCACTGCCCAAGAGCCCCAGCCTGGGAGACAACCCGCATTTCACATCTGCAGCTCTGTTCAGGATCCATCAGCATCAGGACTGTGTGTCACAGAGCCTTCTCACCCATTATCCCTCCCTCCCACGCTGCCTGCCCGCTGTCAACACTGCAGGCTGCCCCGGTCACTCACGTTATTATTGCCTCATGATACACTAAGTACCAAACAGCCAAGAATTCAATGTGTCATTTGGATCTGGAACTCAGATGAAAGGGTTTGACCGAGTCTCAAAGACGCACTCCTCTCCCCCTATGTCAAATGAATGCAATTCAAATGAAATCAGGTTTTTAAGCAGCTGGTTGGCACGGAAGTGAGGACAAAGCCCAGCAGAGTGGGTGTGGACGTGCCAGGTCCCCTCCCCACGTGCTTCCAGCAGCTTGTGCTTTTTAACAGCAGCAGGGCAAGAAACACAGAGCTTAGTCTTTTGAGTAAAGCAAGCAAACACACACCTCCCCACAGTCCACTGCTGAGACAGAATAAAATACCTGAGCATGGATTTGACATACACAACATACAGCAAGGGAAGGCAGCTGAAGGGCACTCAAACCCTGCCCGTGCCCTCCCTGCAGCACTGCAGAGCCCTGGGGATTCTGGCAGAGCTCAGTGCATGGGCTATGCCCAGAAAACATTGAAGGCCAGGCTGGACAGGGCTCTGAGCAGCCCCTCCCAGTGGAAGGGCTTGGACTGAATGAGCTTTAAAGGTCTCTTCCCACCCAAACCACGATTCCATGGACATGTGTCTCGGCTTGGAGCACAGCAGTCATCAGCAGTGACCACGCAGCAGGGCTCACAGCTGCCCAAAGGGGCTCAAGGACCAGCTCCCCCTGGAAGAGGCCACCATGGCCCAGCCACATTCACAGGATCACAGAATCACTGGGTCGGAAGAGACCTCCAAGACCATCGAGTCCAACCCAGCCCTAACACCTTAACTAGACCATGGCACCCAGTGCCACATCCAGGCTTTTTTTAAACACATCCAGGGATGGTGACTCCACCACCTCCCCGGGCAGACCATTCCAGTTCCTTATCACTCTTTCCGTGAAAAACCTTCCCCTGATATCCGACCTAATTTTCCCTTGACGCAGCTTGAGCACACCACCCGACAAGCCTGGCACCGCCTACCTTGTGCGAGTAGTGCTGGTCCACGATCCTGGCCAGGCCGAAGTCGCCGATCTTCAGCACCAGGTCCTCGGTGCTGATGAAGATGTTGGCGGGCTTGAGGTCGCGGTGCAGCACGTTGGCCGAGTGGATGTACTTGAGCCCGCGCAGCAGCTGGTACATGAAGAGCTTGGCGTGCTCCTCGGCCAGCTTGCCCTGCTCCAGCAGCCGCGCCAGGTCCGTCTCCATGTACTCCTGCACGATGTACACCATGTTGAACTTGAAGAAGTCCCCGCGCAGGTTGGCGCCCTTGGGGCCCAGCACCTCGTAGACCTTGACGATGTTCTCGTGGTCCAGGCGGCGGATGATCTTGATCTCGCGGAAGGCGTGCTTCATGCTGCGCGCATCGCCCAGCGTCAGCTTCTTCACGGCCACCTTGCGGCAGCTGCGGCTGTCCAGGGCCGACAGCACTAGCCCGTTGGCCCCGAAGCCCAGCGGGCGGAAGTTCACGAAGCGGCAGCCCAGGTCGTAGCCGTACATGCTGGCCAGGCAGTCGCACTTCTCGGCCATCGCGCCCTCGGGCTCGTCCCGCCTCCCCGCCCTCCTCACTGGAAAAGCCGGCAGAGTCCCAGGGCTTCCAGGTCAAAAATGTCGTGTGAAACCAAGCCCCTCATTATTACTGGCCGATTCCTGGGGAGGGGTCTCGCTCTGAGCCCGCTGCTTCAAACCACACAGGGCGACAACAAATCTGAGGACACACACACACACACACACAGAGAAATAAAATGCTCTAAACTGGGTGAGGAACCAACAGACTTCCCAAGCAGCGCAGAGAAGCACAGCCCAGAGATCGCTATCAAAGCAGAAGGGTTCTTTTCCCTGAGATTAAAAAATCAGCGCTGTTACATGCTCCAGCCCCTGCCTCGCTTCCCTTCCGTGGTTTCCTGGGGACAGTGCCGAAGCGCAGGGCTGGTGGCACAGGTCCCCGATGTCTCAGCCGGCCCCGCTGTGGGGCAGAGCCCAGAGCAGCCCCACGGCTCTGCCCTGCCCAAACCCCCCCTGCCCACCAACCTTGGCAGCGTTCTCCCAGCAGCGAGGCGCACCTGGGCTCCCCGGCGGTCAGCACAGCTTCGCCCTTCTCGCCGCTCCCTTTTCGGCACGGGCAGACCTCATCCTCCTCACTGGCGCACGCGGAGCCCAGCAGGTGCTTTGCAGGACAAATCTCAGGTTTTGGCTGCCTTCAGCACGAAGAGTTTCCAAGTTTGCAGTCCCAGCTCCTCCCTGCTGTGTGCCTTTCCTGGCTGAAGCTGAGTCTGACGGCTACAGCATCCCGAGGGGCTCCCTGCGCCTCACAGCC